TGATACGCTTCGTCGACGCGCAATATTTGACGGACAAACATAAGGTAGAAGAAGGTTCAAGGTGGTCAAATTAAGACGGTACATGAAGATATGAAAAACCCCGACAAAGGGTCTCGCTAAAATACAGGTTGCATTAGGCTTCTTGAATAAGGACCTGGGAATCCGTTTAATTAAGTTGTACAAGACAAAGACGATACCGCAGTGTTGTAAACAGGGAAACCACTCGACTTCATGACAAGCAGTCTACCGGAAGCTCTTTTTCCATCTTCATACTGCTTCCGANAGATAGCCAAGAAACAACCGCCAAGACTGTCGCGTCCAAGTGCAAGGTTAGTAGTGATGAGAATTGAAGAAAAACACGCCTGACACAAGTCAGTATATGGTCCTTGTTTCTACATCTCCCTTCCCCCCTCTGTAATACCCCACCTTTTGCGAATCAAGTTGTCCCCAAATCAAATCATTATGTCCATAGAGAACGGCAACCTGAACGGAGTTGCCAGGCCAACATCCTTTTCGGGCCCCAGACTGATATCTAGATGATCAATCACCATTCGGAACAATGATTTCTCAGCCTCCTGTCGAAATTCGGTAGGAGGATAGACAGTGATACGGTCTCTTTTGGTCACAAAGTTCACAATAACATTATACATCTCATATGTCCACCTAGGGAGTATGCATTTGTACGTACTACATGTGTTTGTTCCTCGTCGTCAGGTTGTGCTGTGAAATTCCACTCATGCAATGAAGAGTTTTGTAATCCTTGAAAAACACTGTAAAAAACGAATACGCATTCCCCCAGGGTCCACCACGAGACGATTCTCCAGTTATAGAGGAACGTTCTAATGAAAAAAGCACTGCTCGTGTCTATTAACCGGTTTTATAATTTTATTAACAATATAGGCAATATGAAGGAACTATTTTGTACACATACAATATATACAATAATGATAAACGTTTTACTTCCTCATTTTGTCTGTTGATGGGCCGCAGCCATACAAAGGTCGCCCAGGGGGAAATACATATACTGGGAAGATGGGCGGGAGGGGCGGGACGGTGGTGGCTACTTCGACGAATTTACCACTCGGCCACCACCACCACCACCGCCGCCGGGTCGCAGTGACTACGAGGATCATCGACATTGCATAACTAGTTTCATTTATTGGTTCGTAGGACAACCGGCCGCTTTCATTTCTATTAAACTAATTCGGTAGTCAGTAGTTGGAAATGTTTGAAGCACATCAACACGCTAGATTGATTAGGGGGAGTGGGTGGGCATGTATAGAAATCAGTTTGAAGTAGCGAACTGTGAATATTTCAGCTGCGCCGCAATTGGCCGAATGTCGTTATTGATGGAAATTCGAGCATACTGTGGAATCGATCTAACCCACCGATGATTCGCTCTGATGACAAGACAGATGTGAGCAAACAATAAGACACCTCCCCCCCGGGGTGGGGGGTGGGTGGGAAGGAGAGGTTAATCAAACCCACAGATATTGGGATGTGCATAAATTACACAAAACACCAGAAGGCATGTCGCAGGACCAAACACTCGGATTACTAAAGTCATCTAATAACGGTTTCCAGCAGTTCGTCGATTACTGATGACCCCCCGGGGTTAGTGGGTCGTTTAGTTGCACTCTAAGCTTATAACCGTAATGCAAACGCTAATCAATACACACGGGGACAGTAGTCAGTGCACGTCGAAATTGCACCTATTTCGCAGTGATTGCGCGGTCACAAACTTTAATTGTTATACGCCCATTATTATTTAATGCTACTTTTTCGAGTTTAATAAACATACCGATTGGCAGCTGCTCATGGCCTGACAGTTAATCGCTGGAGTGGGCAAGGAACCGGGCAGCATGGTTGACGGCGGTGCTCCGGATGCGGCGGCGGCGGCTGCGGCCGCAGCGGCAGCGGCTGCTGCAGCTGCAACAACCGCTGCAGCGGCCGAGGCGCCAGTTCCACTTGGGGCAGGTACGGAAGCCGGGATGGAGGAAGAGGACGCCGGGACACTGGTGGGAGCCGAGGAGGAAAGTGAACCTGACGGAGAGAATGAGGATGGTGGCAAGATCCGAGGAAATCCAGAATCAAATGTCCCTGGACCAGGCAACACACCATTAGCCAATCCGTTGTTGTTGTTGTTGTTGTTGCTGTTCATGACGGGAAATGTTTGGCCTGAGGATAGGGGGAATGTGTCTGCGTGCAATGGTAGACCGTCTGATGTGAGATGAGGAGGGGATAGCGCAACAGGACCGACACCAGGCAAATTAACAGAATTCATGTTGATCGGATTGGAATTTGGTAGTGGACTAGCGGCATTTGATGTATCCACTGGAATAAAGAAAAATAACATCAATCCGAATTAAGTTCCTCCCGGTACAGCTGGAGTGAGAGTATAAGGAATTGATATCTAAACATATGGCGATGACATTCACCTTAGGGTTACACAAGACGTTTGGACATATGTTACATTTTCCTCTAAACTTCAATTCTAGTCAAACTATAAAATCCATTCCTTTGTTCTATTTTCAAAAAAAGCCCGGCATGGGATTTATTGTATTCGTAAAAAGCCTCTACTGGCAGGTCTAAATAGAGCAGATGTGATTGGAAATGAAACCGTCCCTCGTTGAATTCAAAAGTGAACGATTTCACAGCAGAAACGCAGCTGGGTTCGGTTGTTTCGGATTTGATCTACAGTTATTCATGCTGATTTTGATACCCTCGGATTAAGCAAAGCTGAATGCTATCCGGTGCGTCCCCGGGTTGTGGATTGAGGGGAATAGTTTCACCGAAGAAGGTTAGCTGTGAATAAGTTGTGGCATACCACAACAAATAAACAGTCGCGAACAAATAGCGGCGGAACTACCAGGGTGTGGTGGGTTTCAGGCTGGTCACCTGACTCCTGTTTGAAAGCCGCATAAGCCCGATGACGGTGTTGTGACAAAAGACGATGTGACTGGTCTTCCTGCTACCTTGCAGTTCGCAACTGGTTGTGCAAAAGCTAGATGTGGGCCTTCAAAATAAAAAGCCGAGTGACGCTGGGAACGCCCCTCATATCAAACTCCCAAGGAACTTCGTGATCATGTCTGGAGCAGGCTGATCCTTTCCAAGGAGCTACCCACAGTAAAGTAAAAAAAGCTGATTCTGATAGAAACCCATCCACGACGGCGAAAGTGTTCAACGATCGCTAATCTTGAAGTGAGTGTTACTAATCCCCCGATACCATAGGAGAAACTGACCACCAGCCAGTTTCGAGCTTTAGCGAAGAAAATATGGTAGTACAAACGGTGAGCTGACAACTGCATGATATGACTACTCCGGAGTGTGTACATGTTATGAATAGACTTGTTTCTGAAAGCATTTTCGTAGTTGAGATATAAAAAATTAGTCGTGGTTCAGTTAAAAACTGAGCAGAGCTGAATATAGTTCGTCTTAAGAAATCATAATTATAGTAGCTAGGGCATATGTTACCGTGCTGCGCGAACCGCTGATGCTTGCTGGTATACGTGCATGGGAAGCATGAGATGTATGAAAACCCCGTCCAAAGCCCTTGATCACATAGGTTGCACTAGACCTAATTCCTGGTTAGGGTTCGCGTAACTAACTAACAAACCTAATAAACAGTAAGAAACACCGAGTGATATGAATGAGTGTCGTAAACATTGACACTCGTGCATCTGCTCTCGGTTCGCGCACAGTTTACTGGTTTTCTTCTTAGCTTCAAAAAGCTCTACTTGATCAGCATTATAAGTGGATAGCCGGAAGACAGTGATCGGAATCGGCACAGTCCAGAGCAAGACTAGCCACAAGGGGAGCAGTGAAGCTGGTACTCGCTTTCGGAGGAGAAAAACCGTTCGGGACAAACTCGCTCATAGTTTGGAATCACCAGACCAGTAGTTGTTGTTGTTGTATTTTTAAGACGATTCATGCAATCTATCGTGTACCCGGATGCACCATTTCCCCCCGAAATCGAGAAGAGGAGCGAACATTTGACCGTGATATGTCTGGGGAATTGACACGTCCTAATATGATGTATTCTTAAGTATAACTAGGCAATATGACGTCCGAAGTTAGACCACTTTTAACACGAGTAAAAAAGCGGTGCTTAGTGTGTACACAGACGACAAGAATGTGGATGATACCCATGCCTGTAATCAATAGAACCACCGCCACCACCAGCATCAAATAGGAAAACGATGCTTGTGATAGGGTACTACACTGAGCTAGGAAAGCATGTGTGCTCATCGGTAAACATGCACGGTACAAGAATGTCAAGATTAGTTACACACACACACACACACACTTGAATGAGGAAGAAGAGGATAAAAGGGAACAGGGGATAAGTAGGTGAACGAAATTGCAGGTGGGACATTTCACCGCACAGGGTCACCAAATAGGTCAACGTTGGAGCGCCAGACAGAAGAATAGCTATTCACTGTTAACGGTATACACACACACACACAGATGAACCGATAGTGTTTAGAGGCGTTCGTTTCAGACACTACCAGTCATTATATAATGTGAAGGATAAAATCAGTCAGCGGTATGTTTAGCGGTATCAAAACAGTCCATATTCCCTAATAGACACTCCTTGTCTTAATAGGGGTATCACAAAGAAATTGGACGATTTTCAAAGTGTTTTCCATCCGTGTTTGTGTGTACATTTTGTGGCTCAGATACGGTCTTCAGTTGTACGTGCTCGATTACTGTTTGCAGCCAAATATCAGATTACGCAATTACCCGGGGAGTTTTATGTGGTCTCTTATTGTCATTTGTCACCGACCCCGCGTTACATTCGATAAAACACGACGATGAGATCGCATTAGAAATGATCACTAGTGATGGTTCAGTTGTACAGAGTTCACTTATGTCGGTCTGCACCGATCTGGTAATGTCCCATGTACATAGCACACAATCGGGCTCCTGGTAAGTTTCAGTTCATTTTGTACAACCGTGATCCATCCTAATGTTGAAATGAACTTCTCGGGCACACCGTTTAGGGAAAGGTAACGCCACAACAGAGTGGTCCACTGAGTCGAAGATAACTTTTAGATGGAGAAAGACAGAGAGATGGTGGGTCGAACATAAGAATGTCGGTGCTAAATAATTCGACGGAGAGTGAATATGTGGTCGATACAAACTCGACCTGGTAAACGCAAACTGAATAGCCTCAACCTGATACTTCAACTGTTTTCCCGAAAGAACGTATTGATAAGCCACATGTGATAGACGTACCCAAGACAGGTAGAAAGGCAAGTTGATCCAGTCCTGTTGTGTCCTTCACCACAGACTGATCGGTAAAGTTGTGAAATTAGTTTTCAGTGACTCCCCNCCCCCCGCCACCATGCCTACTCTTCCCTGCTCCGTCGACAGTCACTGAATACAACAAAATTCACCATGATGAAGGGCATGGTACGATAGACTGAATACATACAGCACTGAAAGTACATCTCCGTCGAGAGACATTCCAGCTACCTCTATATCTCATCTACTGACCGGAAACCATAATGTCATTAAGAATCACTGGTGTACATACATCAAAACTAAACTCAGAAGCGTTCTAGAAGCAAGATAGAGTAGTACACTGAACCACTGACTTCCTACTGTAATAATCCAAACAGAATGAGCCCATGCATGCGGTCGTCCATCTTATGAATACCAATAAAAAACAAGAGGTCTGCACATGGCATCATGCTTTAAGGATTTTCTAGAAAACTGTAACCACTGAAGGCTTCAGTGCCCAGTGTATACCTAAGGGCTAGATGCCGCACCGAATGTTGTACACGACTGTTGAGAGAAGAACGACACACTAGTCAGTGCAGCAGTGGTCAATTAGTGAGTAGGAACACAACCACTGCCGTCCAAATTCGGCATGTGTTTAATAAATTAAAAAAGTAAGATCACTATTCTGGCTCAGTTTCAACAACCATTAATCACGCACTTTCTTGCACGAGTGCAACTGTTGAGGATACTTAATCATATATTGTTTCGAACCATTGGTTTCGCTGATCCCATCCGGGAGGCCTGAGGAAACCTTTAGAGAGAGAGAGAGAGAGATGTGGTCAAGATTTTCATTCCCTAATACCAGATCTTCGTTATAGTAAATATATTTAACCCAGTTCATGTCTCGAAAAAATATCGCACACCGTGGCAACCTATTTGGTGGCATGCGTAACACATGCCCCACCCAACGTAGTCGATCACTTGCTCCAATGGGCCATCACGATTACCCAAAATTCTACGTCTGAGCTTAGCATTGCTTATCCGGTTTCTCTACATGGCTCGTGCAATGCGGAGTGTAGACATCGGTGCTCGAACACCGACAGTCTATATTCGTAATGGCAAATTTTCCGCTCCGTATAGCAGCAGTGTATGAACCGCTGCAGCATATAATCGACCCTCCAGAGACTGTTGGATGTCGATACGGCACATGCCAATCGAGTCTACACTTCATTCGTGATGCTTCCATTAAGTGAGATATAGGTGCCCAAATGACATATATCTATCTAACTCTATTATTTCTCCAAGTTGGAGTGAGGCTGTGAGCGGGACCAGCCCAGTCCAGTAGCAACATTTCACACTTTCACTATTAATTTGATGTAGGTCCAGCAAATATGTCAGTGCATTTGGAATTTATAAAATATCAAGATGGGACCTGGGGAAGATCGAACGTCACTGATCAGTACCTGAACAGAATACACCTAATCGAATGTGTCCGCTTGAAACTCCCCTGATGAACACGTGGTCTTTATCAATCCGTACTATTTAGTTTACTCTCCAGAGATTCTCTTGTACACGAGAATAAGTCTACTTCGTTGGTGAAATCGTGAAAGAGAATGAGTGAACAGATATCCTCACGTACTACTTAGGCTTTCGGCTTCAAGGACGCGCCCCGAAACCCCATGCACCACAAACTTGAACTCAATGGACAGGAGCTTCCATTTTCTGGCAGTAAACCGGTACATATAGTGAATTTCCCGTAAATATTGAGAAACAGATGACGCCCCCTCCTCCCTAACTCTGTCTGCTAGTAGCCATTGTTATTTTTTATCGCAACTCTAATGCGTGCATGTCCGGTGAACTGCTTGTTGCGTACAACTAGATCAGCCGGAAATGTTATAGTAGGTAAGTCAAAGACCGTGTGACTACTTAAAGATTTTAGTAGCTGAAATGACCCAAATGAATGGGATAAGATTGCACAGTTCACTGTGGTACGACAACCAAAGTGATGGTAGACAGCCGTTTTGGATTGTTACAGCTCGTGAGCATCGATTTCATGTTTGAACGGTACTTACACAACCTCATCACGAGGCCTACGCTATTGGGTCTTTGTGTGATTCACCACCACCACTACACGCCCCCTCAGGTTTCAGGATTCGAATTGCCAGTTTTTCTTGAACCTAACAGTCGATATCGAATCTTCTTCATCCAACCAGTGACATGTGATCAGGTCTTGCGGTAGACAACAGCAATCACGTATCGCTCAAGATGTTTAGATTAAACGGTTAGTCACATACGATACACGTTTGAGGTCTATCTTAGGACTGTAACTCCATGCTTTAGAACGAAATAGAATAGAATGTAGTAGTCAAAAAAGATGTACAACTAAAAAGAAGTTCGATGATACTCATATGATGAGTTAGATAAAATAAATGATCAGTACAAGGAAAGGAATATGACGAGGTAACCCACGGTTTACGGGACAGATGGTTACCGTCAGACCGAGAACAGCTTATCTACACTTTTACCGTGACTCTCTGAAACGCGACCGATGGCTCGCTCGAGTAGAATGCGTCAGCAACGACCTTGGAAGCAGAAGCAAACGAGTAGAAGACTAGAGAAGGGGGTGATGGTGGTGTTCTTCTCTCCCATAACCTCAACAGTCGGGAAAAGAAACTAGCGCATGCGGTCGAGACGAAGGTGGAGGAGAACGCGTCGGCGACCACCACGTCGACCGTGGCCTGATCGAATGTAAGTTTGGTGGTAGTAAGGTGGTGAGTGTGTTGATTAGGTTAGGGATCGACGTGCCTGTATCGTGTGTGTGTGTGTGTGTATATGTGTGGAGTGAATGAATCAGACGGTTAATGGCCGTCACAACAATTGGAGCAAAGGGGTCGGTCCACAGGCAAAGTAGGTACGCGAAGTGTGTACAATCGAGGAGCGGGCAGACGACGAACAAACCGAATGAAACACATATGAATGAGACCGGGTCAATCATGCAAAACCATCCTCACCACCCAAATGAGGTCTTTTCAACCGTCACCCACCCACCCCTATTTGGTTGGACCAAGACGACCAACGCAGCCAAAATATCTAGCCCGGCCGGCTATGTGTCTGTGTGGACAGACCAGCTGTGAAGTTTATCTGACACGGTCTAAGAAGATAGCGCGTCGATAACACAACCAGAATTGTCACCATCACCACCACGACCACTGCTACCGAGAACACAAACATACAAATACGAAAGGCACAGTCATTCCTATTCAGACAAGGTTGCTACAACGGACCAGTGGATGGATGGGTGGGAGAGGAAAAAGAACGTTTGTTGTGATGGTGTGTGTCTGCGAGAATGAAAAGACTGGCGGAGTACAGGTAGATGGATAAAGGGGAACGATAAGCTCATGTGTTTCACCCGATTCCGTGCTGACTGCTTCACATACAACCTTGCGCTGGATAACCCCGAGGCGTGAGTGGGTAGGTGGGCAAACCAGTCAGGGTAGGACGGAGTGTTCGGTCGGTCAAGAACAGCCGACGTGGTCAAGGCATAGTGATGGTGTCGGGCGAAAAAGGCGGGGGAGGGGACTGAGATGGAGGTACGAAAGGAATAGGGCTCGGACAAATAAAGGTTAGTGGGTGGAAGGAACCGAGGAGTAAACAAGTTCAGCATCACAATCAGTCAGTCGACACACGCACAGAGAGAGAGCATCGAACGACGTTTAGGAGACGGGATGGAGAATGCGAGCAAGCGAAAACGGGCGGATGGGGCGCTGAGTTTCATCTCAGTAGTGTGAATTAGGGGGATGGGTCGATTGGTTGTAGTGCGGGGTGGAGTAGGGGCAGGATTATATCGCGGACGCCACCCTGGTTCATTCATCGAAAGACCAAAGTATCAAATTAATCCATCCGGCAAGTGGGTGAGTGCCGAACGCGCCCACATCATCATCATCGACAACAAAATTACCGCCGCCACCGCCTCCACCACCACGGTCACCACCAGCAGCAACGGTGTGTATGTCTGTCTGTAACCAGTTGTGCTCATGTGGCCTCATTGAGAGCCGGGAGACTAACGGACAACATATAATACGATGTCGAAAAGCGTGGGTAAACGGACGGAGCTCAACAAGAGAGAGGGTGTGAGTGAACCGGTGAATGGGTGTGGATGGTTGGATGGATAGATGGGTTAGTCCCGGTTGAAGGGTGAAGGCGTATGCGTGCGTGTTCAAGTGAGCGAGGGAGCAAGCACAAACGGGAGCCCATGGACGACATCAAATAGATGCAAAGTTGGAAAACTGAAATCCGATGATTAAGCCCCGGAATAGGGTGGGATTCGGGCAAAGAGTGGGAGTGCATGAATCGGAAAAAATCGCCAGGGTGGAGGAGGAGGCCACGGTCGAAACCGACTTGGGTGTCGGAAGTATGGGAGGAATTTAACAGACATACAAACACACACACACAAGGACAAGCACAGGATGAACAAACGAATTAGACGATGGAGATAGGAGAGAGAGAGTATGCAGCGACAAACGAACACTGAATAAAAATTGGGTGCGGGGTGACGGGTAGGCAAAGCTTGGGGAACGCAATGATTAACACAGGCCGTGCAATTTCACCCATCAACCTGGCTTGCACACTCACCCTCGTCATTTCCTGAAGAGTTCTTTGGTGCGTTCATTCATTCATTCGGACTGTCAATTTGGTCCGGATCAGCTGTTGTGCTTCATGGGTGAGCGAAGACACAGCCGTAATAGTAGTAGTGGTGGTAGAATCAGGACAAGCAGTAGCATCAATGATGCTGGTGGGACTAGCGAGAAGAGAAAAGGCTACAATGATTCAAATCCTCTCCACCCATCTGTCTACTTACCTATCTATCTTTCCAGCAATGCTACCACCACCCGTTCAGTCAACATGCAGAGCGATGACGATCCGCCGCTGCCGGCGGATGAACCAACAGAAACAACGAAACGCGGCACATTGCATCGTGGTCCAACGCACAGCGCGATACTATACTAGTGGTGGGGTTGAACCAGACCGGGTAGACGAGCTCACCCCACCTCATCTAATTCAACCCCTCCCCACTCCCCCATCATATCGCATACCTTAGCCGGCCAACCGTGAGAACAGCGACCAGAGTGGAAAAAGGCCGACTACAACATTCGACCGGGTGCACGTGGAAGTGTGGTGGACAGGGTGGAGAAGGATAAGCAAAGCATTAGGGCTCGTGAGTGTGCCGAGGAGAAATACAAGAGAGATGACGACTTCCGTCTGTCCACCCCTCCGGTCCTAGTCCATCACCATTTCCCACTCTGTATCGTGACACCATCATCATCATCATCATCATCATCATCATCATCAATACGGCACCCCACTCTCCAGGGGTAAAGCGGGACAGCTTGCGTGTAGAAGGCAATGAACATGGTTCGTGGGTATGTGTGCACACAACTGACTCGTTTTCACTACATCCATTCGTTCAGTAAACCACCACCACCATCAGCATCAGCATCACCACCCTTACCACTCAAAAAGCTAGGACGATGGTTGCTACCACCTCACACAATTCACTCTTCAATGTCCAACCCACCCGAGAAAACCAGAGAGGAGGAACTAAGGGGAAGGGGAATGCTGGCAGAGGCATGCATGCATGCACGCGTGAGGAATGCAAGGTAGTTTTAGAATACACACACACACACACACACGCTGAGGGATGGATTGAATTCGTGCGCGTGCACACCAGAAAACTCACGCACACACACAGACGGATAAGAGGAACGTTGAATGTGGCAACCTTAAAGTTACGTTCCCGCAATTCAGTAAGCTACTAGCTACTACCAAACCACCCTGAGAAAAGTGACGCAGGTGGTAAACAAGGATGTGAAGTATAATCCGGTCGTACAGCAAAACCGACCAGCAACAATACAAAGGCACAAGCTGTTGTTCAGACCAAATGAAATTCAAGGCAAAATGAAGTAAGAGTGTTGAGGCAGATTCACAAGTCAGGCTAGCAATGAAATATGTGAGACGAGAACACTGGCACAGCTCATCCGGAAATGACGACGACACAGACTGTTTGCACCTCGTAAACAGAAATCGGTTTTCAAGTAAACGCCATCCGAAAAAAATGATCATTCAATGAAACGCTCTCGAAAACTCTATAGCAGTCTTCAATTAGCCACCACATTACTGTGAAGGTGAAGGAGTAAACCATCACATCGACGCAAATGGAATATAGATACACATAGGAATATCTTACCTGATGAGGGAGTCATGACCTTGTTGGAGTGTGGAGCTGGGGAATTGGCCGCTTTCAGATAACCGTTACTCCCGGGGTTACTGTGTGGTCCCATATCTACAGAACCACCGTTACTCAGTGCATGCGGACTGGGGGTAACACCACGACTTTCCGGGCCGTTAGGCAAAGCATTTGCACTAAGCACTGGGGGACTATCGTTCGATTCTTTTTTCTCACCCAGACCACTCAATTCATGCGGTTCTCGAATAACGTAATCTGTTGCACTGTTAACACCGGTCATGGAGACGCTGCCAGGTGTTGTTGTGGTGGTGGTGTTGGCATTTGATCCAGTCTTAGCAACCGAATTCATCAAGCCATTTGGTTTATTGGTGGTCAATGGTGTGTGACGTCCACTGGGCGGATGGATATTTGTATTTTTCCCACGCAACTAGCAAAGAAAGCGAGAGGAAAAGAAGAAATTTATAAAATAAGTCCGATAACACTGGTTGTTTTCAAATAACAATATACGACGGATATGATAAAATCCACAAAAGAGTAATTGAAGCCCCTGAAATCATAGTTCTACTATAGATCTAGTGAAATTAGCAAATCAATACAGTGTAGCGTGATACAAGTTTGGCAAAAAAAATTAGTTATTCACCACATGCTATTATTTTGTCATTTCTTCAGATATGTAATTCCGATAATATATATATATATATATAATGGACTAATGTTCACAGTTCAATAATATATCCCAAAATGACTGACATACCAGAGCGCCATCATCCGACATGACGACTGCATTGTTCTTCTCCTCACTGACACTGAGCTAAAGGGAAGGGAAGTGAATGTTTGTCTAAATAAAGACGCACGTATAGAGCGGGAGGGGAATAAAAACATGCGCTTCGCGTGGTCTCGTGCCAGAATACTGCGTACACGCGTCAAAAAAGTTGCTTATGCCAAACAGAGAGAAATATGATGAAGGGCGGGGGAGGGGAGATGATTGTACAATGAATGTAGATGGGTAGGATGCTTGCATGATGACGTATGGGATCGGACAAAGCTTGTATAGTCGCAAGTTTAAGGTTGCAATGAGTAAATGCCGAGTAATCCAAGTATCAATGGATTTCCTCAGGCGCACAATCCTAGATACACTTCGGTGCTGCCATCTAACTTCAAGAATTTTACAGTAACAACAATAACAACTGAAGAGATGGAAACCATGATCATTACTGTCGGTCATCTCATGCGCGATGGCTGTGTTATCTATTTCTCTCTTACCAGTTGTCTTCCCGAATAGTCAGAGTTAGTGATAGCAACAGTTGCCGATTCGTTACTGAGGCCACCACCACCACCACCACCATCATCACTACTACTATACCAGTGCCGCCACACACACACATGTATGAACTTACATCCTGTTGAACATCCACCAACCCAGATGACCAATAACCGGCATAGAACAGTTTCACCAGATAGTTGGACGACTTGTCGATCGGTCAAGCAGTGCATATGCGCATCAACACACACGCAAGCACTGACGTACAAACACCGGATGAGAAGCAATCAGTTAGGCAGGCATACAAACAAGTCACATTGTCGGTTCGGGTTAGACAGCGCAACCACCAAGTCGACCTGGTATTTCACGATGACCGCGTGGTAGGGTGGAGGCAATGAAGACGGAGATGAGGTGACCACCACCACCACCACACAGAAGGATAAGGGTGGTGATTGTGGCAGTAGTCGTGACGAGGGTGGATTGTAGCAGGAAAATGCACAGCATACCACCAAGCAACTGCATACGGTACCTTGTTTCGGCCACGACACCTACATCAAAACGAGTGTCGACCACACGGTGTTTCGTTGACGTTGTACGCAACACTACTACTAGTACTACCACCACTACTACTTATAGAGCCAGTAAGATCAGTGTCACCACCACTACCGCCGCCGCCACAATTATCGACGCAATAGACGGACGGAAACAGGGTGTGCGTGCACGACGCCCGAGCACTGGCTCGGTCAAAACTGTCACCAAGCTATCACGGAATCGACAAAATACGCACGGCACTTGTATGTCTATTTGTGTGTGTGACTAACACGGTCAGGGATTCCGATTTGGACGGACGCACATGTTCCACTCACTCACTCATTCACATGACACAGGCTATGCGAACAGTTCGCAATATTCAATCGGTGACTAACAAATCCAAATGTAAGGCCACCTATAAATAAATGTAAATGTCTTTTTACTTCCTTCTTCTATTTATTGAATATTCAAATGTACAGTCAACTTTCAGGAAGGGGGCTGCGGCCATACAAAGGCTGCCTGGGGAAAATACAGATATAGGGAAGACAGGCGGCGGTGCTGGAGCGGTTTGAACCGGGGACACCCAGGTCACTAGATGGTGACCGAATACCACTTGACCACCTCCGCCTGTTTACTTTAGTACCAGCGAGAAACACCGAACTTATCTACCAGTTAATCAACAGTGGGTGTAGTTTCCCGTCTAACTGAGGTATCAATACATGAACAGGCATTCGGTATAGGAATAAGATAGATAGATAACGGATAGCACTCCTCCAAAAGCCGGTCACACTACTTACAGTACAAATGAGAACTTTAATCGTATGAACAGTATGATCAGTAGTTCAGGGTAGGAGAATCGCCCCAAACTCCGTGAATGAAGGATAAACGTGAACAATCAAAAAACCTACCCGATCGGTTTTGCGTCGTTTCTCATCCGGTGGACCGGACGATCCATGTGACACGGTTAGATCATTCAACCCGGGTGAATGGGAACTGGCACGTCGACCGGATACCGGAGTCGAGCTCTTCGGTGGTGGGAGAGGTGGGTTGGGAAACGGTGAAGTAAGTCCGGGTAGAGATGCAGGGGCAGTGGGCAGAGGAAATGGTAACGATCCCGGTCCACCCATCAGAGCGGATCCACTCAAATTGACCAGACCCGCGGCAGAGGAACCAGGTGAGCCAAGAGCCCCAGTAGTGGATCCGGTGGCAAGACCGGACAAATCGGAAGTGTTCATACCGGCTGTGGCTGCAGCAGCCGCGGCCGCCGCTGCCGCTTGTGCGGCGGCAAAACTAGCCATAGTGGCCATAAGACTATGCGGATCCATTGGACCGGCGCTCCCGGGTAGTCCGGTGGAAGCATTGGATGCCAGATTCGGCGAAAGACAGCCCGGAGCACCGAATGAGCCAGGTGAACCACTTTGGGAGGCAGCAGCCGCAGCGGCCATCGCAGCAGCCATTGCAGCGGCAGCAGCACGCTGAAACGGGTGAGGGAGAGAAATAAATCATAAAAAGATTGAGTTCAAATGAAACTACATGTAAAAGGGACAGTTTTCAAACTTTACAAGAAAGCTGCCAAGTGGGAAATAAGCCTTTATTCTTTATAGTAAATCAAATGACATGAGCACTGTTTGCAACCGAGGTGATGATTTTACCGATTATTGAAACCGAATTATAAAACCAGGTACTTGGTTACAGAAACCGATCAGGATTCTTCCGATAGATTTTTTTCGAATCCCCGAATATATAAATATCAACTTCTTTTTGCACGTACCTGCATATTTAGAAATAGTGTAATCCCACACCTTGCTCGGTTATTGGTTAATCGCAAGACTATTCTCACCTCAGGGAAAAGCCTTTGGACTAATGTTTTCCTCACTTACTGAGGTATAGAAATTTTTAGTCTTTTCGTAATTGATTTCATAGATTCACTGTCAAAATCGTAAATTGCTGAAGTTTCAGCATACAGCGTTTCTTGATTGGACTTGAATCGAAAAATAACGAGTATCAAAGCAGGAGCAGCAACTGAGGGACCGAAACTGAATAATGAACCAACATTGTTTTCTAATTACATATTTGTATGAACATCCGGTGGAGTGGACATCGTAGTCAGTGATGCAAAGTGGAAACCTAAGCCCAGGGACTTGGAGTGGCGAACCACACAACGTGCTGCCAGGTAAAGTTCTTCTTTTTAATTTCAGTTTTTTTGTACAAAACCCAACTGTGAATGCGATTTTCAAGAAGAAGAAAGCGGCAAATCAACAGGCTGCTATTTGATAGAAAGATCAAAATCAAAATCCATTCTTTCGCTATTCTCATGATGATACGGAGAGATTCAGACAACGGCGGGNCTCGAACAGACTAATAACCATCAATCAGATCGATAAAATCTGAATGACGAAGATTACCGTTTAGTGAACAGTTACGATGAGCTAATGTTGGGAGATTTAACAGTGTGTTTGTGCAGTGACAATAACCAGTGTGGAAATTCGGTTCATGTGTAAATTAGACATTTCGATAACTAAGTATGGAAATACTTGACTGAAAATATACATGAATCGCACAATCAA